GAGGTTGGACTTCTGGAAGAACTCCAAGTTGGATTTGCTCTTTGAACTTTTGCAAAAAGTTGTGAAGTTTATCCTCCCTCACCGAGCTTCTGTTTTTTTCCCCCAAGTCCAAAAGCAGAGCACGTTAGGGACCACTTAGCACTGGTGTGCGTAGCATCCACAACAGAATAACAGAGTTGGAAGGGACCTTGGAGGTCATCCAGTCCGACGCTCTGATCAAGCAGGAGAACCCCATCCCATTCCAGACAAATGCCTGTCCAGTCTCTTTTTAAAAACTTCCAGTGTTGAAGCACCCACAACATCTGGAGGCAAGCTGTTCCACTGGTTAATTGTTCTCACTGTCAGGAAGTTTCTCCTGAGTTCTAGGTTGCTTCTCTCCTTGATGAGTTTCCATCCATTGCTTTGGAGAATAGCTTGGCCCCCTCTTCTTTGTGGTAGCCCCTCAAGTAGGAGGCAACAAGGGTCCGCCATGCATCCTTCTTCCTGTTATGGATTTAGCAGCTTATCTTGGCATTTGCAAAGTGTTCTGAGGAAGCATCTGCAGAATTGGCTTTAAAATCCTCTCTGAAGGGGTGCCACAACCAGCTGCACTGACCACTCAGCAATTCCACCTCTGGCAACTTTCTTTAAAAGCATCCTGGATGCTTTTGCAGGCATTCCCAGCTCTTTCCTAGATATTTTTATTCATCAAGCTGCGACACAGCCATCAAAATAAATAGCTAGGACGCGTACATTGGTAATGGCAAGAACACGCCTGAAGTCTGGGTGTGGAGGAGCTGAACAGGGGTTCTCCTTGTGCGATGTCCTTTAGGCTCTCTCCTCCCAGCCTTTCCGTTCCTATGTTTAGCATCCATCAATCATCATTAATTAGCAACAGTAATTACTCTCCCCTCCCCCGTGGCATTCCCCCCCCCCCGGATAATTTGTAAGCGGCTGACCCATAACTGCACTTTTTTTTCCTCTCGTAAGGATCGACCAGAAGTTATTGCACTGTCGTTATCTCGTTTTTTTGCAAAGTGGGGGAGATGATCTGATTGGTTGGGTTCCTCAGGTGTGTGTAGAAGGGGCACAACCTCCTATTCCAGGAGCTGTCGCCACCATCTTTTACAAGGGTACCAGTCTGGGTGGGGTCTAGGTGGCAAGTTGCGTCTGGCTCTCTCTTAATCCCCTTTCGTAGCTTTGTCTGTGCTTCTACAATGTGCAGTAATCATCCATTCCTTCCTTAATTGAAGAAAGTCCTCCCAACTGTGTTAAATATTCAGTAGCTTAACACACACACACACACACACAGAGAGAGAGAGAGAGAGAGAGAGAAAGAGACAGAAAGAGAGAGAGATGAATGACACAGGAGAGAAAGAGAGAGAGAGATGAATGACACAGGAGAGAGGGAGGGAGAGAGAAAGAGAGAGAACTAAATAAATAAATCAAGTATCTTTATTATGGCCTTTGACCAACTTTAAAAAGAGAAATAGTTGAATACAGCAATTGGCTGTGCAAATTAAAGGGATAGAAATTTCAGTCCTCCAGTCATGTCGTAATGTCATTCCCACAGGATTTTCAGAGGCTGGAAAAAGATCTATATACTGACAGAAACAGTTCCCAGCTCCTGAAATCAGAATTCTTTTAAAGGATTCAGTGCTTACTCTGGTTTGAAACCGCTGGCTTGAAAGAGGGGTCAACGAGGCCATCTAGACGTAAGATTGCACAGCCCTCTCTCAACAGAGGGGGAGGGATATGACACCCCCTCCCTCCTGTTTACAACAGAGTCCTTTCAGCAGTTCCAAGAAGGCTCCACACCCATTTGCACCCTGATTCAGGTGTCCCTAAGGGCACAGATAAACCTCTAAGTGGCCTCAGCGATTCTCAGAAAGAGTGTTAGTGACCAGATGACTGCAAGGGATATAAATCCTTCCATTCCCCCACCATTCAGTCAGAACCGAAGAAGCTTCTTGGATGAGAAGCGAAACGTCATCAAGAAAAAACAAAAGTCCACTTGCCTTTGGAAAAAGCACCTTTGAGACATTTAAAGGTGTGTAAATTGTGGAGAGAGGGTAGAATTCACTGAAAACTACCAAAGGTTAACAAAAGAATATTAGAGAAGTAATTCACGATACATTTCACGGCTGGGATTAATGGAGGCTGAATTTATTTTATTAATTTTTTTAACTTGGTAACTTTCTCAAATTCAAGAAGGCACACCCGGTCTCACTTTCATTTCTAGTCCACTTGTACCTCCTCCTTCCCCCCCCCCTCGAATTATCAAAAGGAACCTTGATGTGTTGGTGCATTTGATCTAACTCCAGGCTATTTCCATGTGGCATTTCTTTAAGCCGTGTATCTACTCTTGCACGGTATTTGAACACTCTCCCCAAATCGTCCTGATGAAATAGTCAATTCAAGTTTTATTTCTGCATGAGGGAGCAAGGTGTTTGATCAGTGTGTGCATCCTGCATGCATAGCAGTATAAGTCCACACACACACAAAAAAATCAAAGCACTGCAGAACTTTACATCAAGTTTCTCCCTTTTTTCTCTCCTCTCTTCAAGTTTTATTAATTTGTCTAAGGCATTGCAGATTACATGGGGGTCGTGGTGTATACTGTACACTTGGAAGAGTGTGCCCAGTTCTGGTGACCTGACAAGTGGTCAGGTCACAATCCTTCCCCCCCCCCCCATGTTGGGAGACTCATTTCATTTATACATCTTCTAGCATAGTTCTGGGATTAGATGGTCCAGAGGAGCCTAAGGTGGCAAAACCTTGGCCAGATCCTAGAGCAGGGGTCTTCAGACTTGGCCCTTTTATGACTTGTGGACTTCAACTCCCAGAATTCCTCGGCCAGGCACGTGTGCCTGGCTGAGGAATTCTGGGAATTGAAGTCCACAAGTCATAAAAGGGCCAAGTTTGAAGGCCCCTGTCCTAGAGGCTGCAGTAAGGGCTGTTTCTTCAGAACCTTGGACAGATCACAGAAAGCAGTTGAGAAAATCCAGCACCGTCTCAATCCAGAACTCTGCAACATCTGAGTTTTGTGCCATAGCTAGACAGATGCACTCCAGATGTGGTTACTCCAGAAAAGAAAAGAGTGTGGATAATGTCTCCAAAAGGGCTTTCTCTAGTTTTCTGGAGAGTAAAAGAAAAGGGGGGCAGAAAAACTTTCAGACTTCCAAGTCATCCAGAGAAAAAAGCACAGCCACGAACACTAACCGTAACCGTAACCCCATTTAGATAAAACTTTGCCTTTAATCATTTCAGTTCTGTGTATTTCATACCTTGACTTTTCAATGTTCTGCCCAATAGGCCCTTTTATTTCTTGAAATTTCCTACGGAGCTTTTTATGTAGGTAAAAAGCATGTTGCAGGTTGCTTATTGTTAGTTGCGAAGTCGTGTCCGACCCATCGCGGCCCCATGGACAACGTTCCTCCAGGCCTTCCTGTGCTCTACCATCTTCTGGAGTCCCTTTAAGCTCACGCCTGCTGCTTCAGTGACTCCATCCAGCCACCTCCTTCTCTGTCGTCCCCTTCTTCTCTTGCCCTCCATCTTTCTCAGCATCAGGCTCTTCTCCAGCGAGTCCTTCCTTCTCATTAGGTGGCCAAAGGACTTGAGTGTCAACTTCAGGATCTGGCCTTCTAAAGAGCAGTCGGGGTTGATCTCCTCTAGGACTGACCGGTTGGATCGCCTTGCAGTCCAGGGGACTCGCAGGAGTCTTGTCCAGCACCATAGTTCAAAGGCCTCAATGCTTTGGTGCTCAGCCTTTCTTGTGGTCCAACTTTCACAGCCATACATTGCCACTGGGAAAACCATGGCCTTGACTATACGTACTTTTGTTGGCAGGGTGGGAAGGAAATGGCAACCCACTCCAGTATCTTTGCCACGAAAACCCCATGGACAGTACCAAAAGGCAGGTTGCTTAGTCAATGTTAAATTGCTTTTAGTCCCTTAAGGGAGAATGCTCTCTGAAGCTGGATTATGGTCTCACCTTCCCCTCATCGTTTTGATCCAGCCCTAAAGTCCTGCCATCGCGGCTGCGCTGTTTTTTTTCTTCATTACCCGATCTGTTTTTTTTATATTAAAAAAAAATCAGCATTTTTATTACACTTTCTTCCACTTCACTTGTCCCCACCCTTAAAAAACAACAACACTCTTTTAATCAACTCCTTCCTACTCTGTCTTGCAGCCTCTGTTCTTTTCCTCTCCCTTCTTGACAGCCCGAAATAAATTGATTTCCTTGAAAGGAAGGTCTCGATAACAAGGCCATCAATTAACAGCCCCCGTGAAATAAATAAAAAAAAGAGGAGTTGGGAGACTCTCCCTTTTAGAATGCAAATGCTACCTTTTAAAGACATGCATGGGTTGTTAGAGAAACCAGATCAACAGTGTCAAGAGGGGAAAGTTTCCTTTTGCAAGAGTTAAAATTGGGTGAGGTTCGTGCAGGTTAGGGTACTTAGTGCTTATGTTGGCCTTCCTCATGAGATGATGTGGGAAAATATTTAAAAGATACCCCCAAATATTTTTAGAGGGGTCCATGAAAACGAGAGAGTAAAACAGAAGCTTCTTTCCAGGAAGGGAAAATAGAGGAATCGGGAAAGCCGTTCTGATATCGTGTCCAAATGTCTCCCCATTTAACCATCTGTAGCTTCTTCCTTCAAATTAGTCCAATTTCTATCTCAGCACCATTGGATATATTCACCTAGGGCAGGGGTAGGCCACCTTGGCTCTTTTATGACTCATGGACTTCAACTCCCAGAATTCCTGAGCCAGCCATGCGGAGGGGAAAGGGAGAGTTTCCAAGCTGAGCCATGTTGGCTCAGGAATTCTGGGAGTTGAAGTCCACGAGTCATAAAAGAGCCAAGGTTGCCTATCCCTGACCTAGGAAGTCAGTTTAAAGCTGATTTAAATTGTAATGTGCATCCCTTCTGACAGAGCAGGTGCTGTGGGGCCAGGCTTCAAACTGTAAGCATGATTGCTATTTCTCTCCCCCCCCTTTTTTTTTTCCTTCTCCACAGGAGGTAGTCTTTCCAAACAAGACTGGACCATCCAGTGGCCAGCCACGACCGAGGCCAGCAGCAAAGAAAACAGCATCATGTGCCAATCCGAATCCATGCAGTGGATCCGAACTCACCTCTCTCTGAGTCCCAAGCCCAGGTCCAAGTGCGCTCCACACTACTGCCACCCCACGTTGTCCCACGAGCTTGTCTACACGCACACGGACAGGCTAACCGTGGAGGGTTTTCCAGGACTCTGCCCTCCGCTGGAATCTGGCCACCGCTCCTTGCCCCCTTCCCCACGCCAGCGGCATGCAGCCCACACCCCGCCCTGCACTCCGAATATAATCGCCACCATGACCGCTCCAGGGACGCCGCCAGTCCGGAGGAGGAACAAAGTGAGACCCCCGGGCACACCGCCTCCTTCGTCTCGGAAGCTGATCCACCTCTTCCCGGGCTTCACCGTCTTGCACCGGAGCAAGTCTCACGAGTTCCAGCTGGGCAATCGGGTGGACGAGTCTCACACCCCCAAGTAAGTGGCCGGAAAAACCAACCGGTTGGCAACAGGAAGGGGGGGGGGCTTCTACCAGATGATCCCCGGCTAGCTCGCGGTTATCGAAATGGAGCAGTTGATTGTCAAGGTTTCAGGAACCTTCCCTGCAGACCCAGAGGATGGAGTTCAGTTTTTCTGCTCACAGAGACGATCTTGAGATACAGGAAGTCTTGAGTTACAAAATGGTGTTACTTAGTTGGATGGTTATGAAACTTCTGCAAGAAAACAACCAAGCTCAGAGAGCACCAAAACCCCACAGTTGTTGTTGTTGTTGTTGTTGTCCTCCTCCTCCTCCTCCTCCTCCTCCTCCTCCTCCCCACAAACCCCACTCTAGCACTGATGATGCTACCTACAAGGGCTCCTTGGTGTTCTCCGAGCTTGCTTGTTTTCTTGCAGACGTTTCATTACCCAAACTAGGTAACGTCATCAGTTGCCCACCTTGTAATGTAAGAGCAGTTTAGCCAAGGAACCAACGGCTGACTGGGGAATTCTGGGAGTTTTAAGTCCACACAGGCCCAGCTTGAGAAACAGCGGACTATGGTACAAGCCCCCCTAATAGGGAGATGGGCGGTTAAGGAGTTTGATACAGTATATAAATAAATAAGACATAAATAAGATCCTTTTTCAAGGAGCCATCCTCCGTTTCACAAGGTAGAAACAATAAGACCAAAAGGGAACGAAGAACGACAGGTAGTTCTTGATTTATGACCACAGTTGAGCCCAAAACCTCTGTCACGAAGTGAGACCTTAGCCAAGTGAATTTTTGCCCCATGTTACAACCTTTATTTGCCACAGTCATTAAGTGAATCCCTGCAGTTGTTAAGTTAGTCACACGGTTGTTAAGTGAATCTGGCTTCCCCCCCATTGACTTGGCTTGGCAGAAGATCACGTGACCCCGGGGACATTGCAACCGCCCCAAGTACATGCCAGTTGCCAAGCGTCTGAATTTTGATCACGTGACCACGGGGAGGCTGCAAAATGGGAGAAACGGCCATAAAGTCTCTCGTTTTCCGGTCCCGTTGCAACTTTGCCCGGTCACTAAATGAACAGTTGTAACTCGAGGACTAAATGGACGTTGTTTACCCTGCTTGTTCGTGAAACATTTGGGGATGGTCATCTTCATCTGTTGGTAAAGTGAGGAGACTCGAATTTTTATCCCAGAAGACGTCGAAAATCAGAGTCGGTGGCACCGTCCTTCAGCTGCTCCATGTTAAATTCTCCCTGGGGAATTTCTGTCCAAGAATGGTTAATTTGTACCGACACCCTGCGTGTTTGTCACATCCCTTTGTAAGTTTTCAAATACCTGCCTTCCAATCTATGCTCTTTTATTCCTATTTTTTGCCTGTTTTGTAAAGGAAGGCTGGCCAACGGCGGGGTGCGTTGTGTTTGAAAATTTGGCAGCTGACACCATGAGGTCTTGATGAGTCTGTCCCATCCCTGCTGTTTTTAAGGATGTTTGTTGTTTTAAAATGATTGGTTTGAGGTTGTTTTTAATGAGATTTAGGGGTGTTGTTGTTTTTTTTTAATGTCACCACCCAGACTTGGTGGAAATGGGTGCGATATACAGTGTGTTAACAAAATAAATAGCTCTGTCGGTGTGGAGACGCGAACAGAATTGACATCTCATCCGCAACAGGATGTTTGTTGTTGTTGTGTAACCCACTCATTGTGTGCGTGTGCCTTTTAGTCTTGTCTACTTCTTGTCTGCCGCAGCACTTTCCTATTTAGGAAATCTATTTGTCTTCAGAGATTGGAGATACAGGTTGCACACTGTACCATATTTTTATGCAGTCCTTTTGTTAGATTTATGCCCTTCTTTTCTTCCAGCAAGCTAAAGCAATTCCTCCATTTTTTCCTTTATTATTCTGTTCTTTTCAGTACCATTTTTTTCTAATGTCACTTCCTGTTGCAGTTGTCTTTAAAGTATAGAATACAGCATAAGACAGTTAGAAGGGGTCTTGGGGGTCATCTAGTCCAACCCCCCGCCTGAGCAGGAACCTTATACCATTCCAGACAAATGGCTGTCCAGTCTCTTTTTAAAACTCCTCAGTGATGGAGCACCCACATCTTCCAGAGATTGATTGATTGTTCTCACTGTCAGGAAATTTCTCCTTAGTTCTAGATTGGATCTCTCTTTGTTAAGCTTCCATCCCTTATTTCTAATGTTGCCCTCAGGTGCTTTGGAGAATAAGTCAACCCTCTTCTCTGTGACAGCCCCTCAACTACTGGAAGACTGCTATCATGTCACCCCTAATCCTTCTCTTCATTAGAATAGGTAGGTAGGTAGATAGGTAAGTAAGTAGGCAGACAGGCAGACAGACAGGTAGGTAGACAGACAGACAGACATGATATATAGATATGATAGAGAGAGATGATAGATAGATGGATAGAGAGAGAGAGAGAGAGAGAGAGAGACAGACAGACAGACAAACAGACATGATATATAGATATGATAGAGATAGATAGATAGATAGATAGATAGATAGATAGATAGATAGATAGATAGATAGAGAGAGAGAGAGAGAGAGAGAGAGACAGACAGACAGACAGACAGACAGACAGACAGACAGACAGACAGACAGACCGGACCCCTAATCATCTTCGTTGCTCTTCTCTGCACTCTTTCTTGAGTCTCCACATCTTTTTTTTTTTTGTATTATGGTGATAACCAAAAAAAAGAGAAAAGAAGTGTTTTATTGCCTACTTGGATTGTTTTTCCCTCTGTTTCCTAGTAAGCTGTTTTTCCTGAGTGGCACTTTCCCAGTTCTATAAAGCTGTCCTGAGTAACAGGAGGAAAGGCATCATCAATACCACCACGGCAGAAATTATATTTCAGAGCATGGCTGGGCTGACTTTTTCCCCCAGTCAATGGCTGCATTTCCCGGGGTGATGGGTGGGGATGAATCAACCAGTGGGTGGGGCAAAGTCACCCTTTTGGGGGGTTTTCCCCCCTTTTTCATTCATTTCCTCTTTCTGACCCCTTTCTTTCTCCCTCAAAAGCAGCGGGAGGAAGCAAGCCATCCATCTTTTTAGAACTCTCTTTTAATAATTCTGAGGGTCAGAATTCGGGTTTTTTTTAAATTAGGCTGATGTAATTGCCACTGCAGGTTGCCTACTCTTCGTACACGCCCTGCTAGCATACGTTGCCCTGTCTAGGAAATACACTTTTGCCTTAATTAATGGAATTGAGCCTGTATCTGACATGGTATGTTAAACTATACCATTAGACTTGTGATGATTGCCTTGAACTCTTTTTAATGACCTCTGACTAGAAGTGATGAAAGCGTGAAAAGGAGAGGAGCACTTAATTTTCATTCCTCGACTCAAGGGTCTTATGAGGTGGAAAGCAAAGTGAATTAGCAATATATATTAGCCTTGTTTCAATAAAAGATTGGTAGCGGTTATTTTAAGTCTCTGAACTGCCTAGAAGATGATCTGAGCTGTTCCTAATCTTCTTCCTTAGATTTCTGTTCCCCACTTTTACGTTTCTAGTTCCTAAGGCCTCTTTACTACTTTGTGGTGGTGGTGGGGAATCATTAGAGGGATCTACTTTTCTCTGATTCTTAGGGATCCATGTCACAGGGAAGAAGGGGTCAACCTATTCTCAAAAGCATCTGAGGGCAGGACAAGAAGCAATGGATGGGAACTAGTCAAGGAGAGAAGCAACTTAGAACAAGGAGAAATTTCCTGATGCTAAGATCAATGATCAATGATCAATCAAAATCAATCCCCTGGACTGCAAGGCGATCAAACCAGTCAGTCCTAGAGGAGATCAACCCTGACTGCTCTTTAGAAGGCCAGATCCTGAAGTTGAAACTCAAGTCCTTTGGCCACCTAATGAGAAGGAAGGACTCCCTGGAGAAGAGCCTAATGCTGGGAAAGATGGAGGGCAAGAGAAGAAGGGGACGACAGAGAATGAGGTGGCTGGATGGAGTCAGTGAAGCAGGAGGCGTGAGCTTCAATGGACTCCAGAAGATGGTAGAGGACAGGAAGGCCTGGAGGAACGTTGTCCATGGGGTCGCGATGGGTTGGACACGACTTCGCAACTAACAACAACAACAACAACAACAACAAAGATAAATGAATCAGTGGAACGGCTTGCCTCCAGAACCTTTGGGTGCTCCATCACTGGAGATTTCTGAGAAGAGATTGGACATCCATTTGTCTGGAATGGTGTAGGGTCTCCTGTTTGAGCAGAGGGTTGGACTATAAGACCTTCAAGGTCTCTTCCAACATGGAGGGTCTCATGGATAGTGTACGTTCGCCTCCGTGGGACTCTAGACTTCTGTCCCAAGGGGCTTTTTATTGCTAAAATTTCTGCCAAGTCTGCAACACACTGCATTTACACATTCTGCTAAACCGTGGATCACTTGGTACTTGAGGGGCTGTCGCAAAGAAGAGGGGATTGACTTATTCTGTAGGGCAGGGGTAGGCAACCTTGGCTCTTTTATGACTCGTGGACTTCAACTCCCAGAATTCCTGGGCCGGCATGGCTGCCTCAGGAATTCTGGGAGTTGAAGTCCATGAGTCATAAAAGAGCCAAGGTTGCCTACCCCTGCCCTAGGGCACCAGGAGAGCAGGACAAGAATAACGGGTGTCAAAGAGAGATACAACCTAAAAATAAGGAGAAATTCTCTGACAGTGAGAGCAATTAATCAATGGAATAGCTTGCCTCCAGAAGGTGTAGGTGCTCCATCACTGCAGGTGTTAAAAAAAATATACTGGACAGTCATTTGACTGGGATGGTTTAGGGTCTCCTACTTGAGCAGGGGGTTGGACTAGAAGATCTCCAGGCCCCTTCCAATCCTATGATTCTATGTCCTATGTTCTATTTTTGAGTTGGAAGAAATGAAATAGCGCTGCCAAGGAAACTGCTATCCTGGAACCACACACGATAATATTTCTCCCACTTGTTGGGACCAACCTATTTCTCCGTGCCTGTTTTATCTGAGAAGGTCAAAACTGGGACCTCTGGAATC